TAAGAGGTAAATTATTAGCCTTCAAATGAATAAACAAGTTAAAGTTGAAATATCCCCACTTAAAAGCAATTCATCAGTATAAAAAGCAAGCTATCCAGATTTAAAATGCATTTTGCAGTGTCCTCTTTTTTAACTTCTTTCAATATTGGTCTAAAATGTTTAATGAAAATGTAAGAAATAAGAACATTTCGCTAGGAAAGTAAATTGTATAAGATTCTAATGATGTATTTATTTCTAGAAATTTACATAAAATTATATTTGAGAAATTCTTTTTTTTTCAGTAAGTTGGAAGTTATAAATTGTACATTGTTTTCTTGGATTGTACTTATAAAACATGCTTTTTTTTATTGAAAAAAAATTGTTTTTTTTATTCTTATTCGAAATTAAGAAAATTCTTTTCTTGTAAAAGTATTTTTAAAATTTCATGAGATGAATTACTTGTTTTCAAATAAATAAATAAATTAAGGATATTAAATATCTTAGTCTTATTCCTTCCCAAAGTACAATGAAAAGTAACTGAGAATTAGTATGTAAAGAAACTATTTAAAGTTAGAAATCATTTATACTTTTCTCAATTTCATTCAGGGCTAATTTAAAACATTTCTCCCAAATGAAAATGTAGTGTAAATTGTATGTACTAATATCTGACCTAATTACAAATATTTAAAGAAAACAGAATGGAAAAAATATTTGGTTTATTAATAATTTGTGCAATTGGCTTAAAACAAAAACAAGGTATTTAAAAGAAATCAAATTGTCAATTGGGTGACCTGATTTCAATGTCTGAAAATACTATATTAACTTTGATATAGAGTAAAAATAAAATATCACCTTAATTATTTTTAATCAATAATTTGTCTTATTTCGGTAGTGAATTTATGTATTAAGTCTTTCAAAAACAAAGGTAAATATAATCTATATTTTTATTTCTTAATAACTTAGTTAACATTCAATTTTGTATTTATTTTTCTTGTTATGATAACCAGAAAAGTTTTCATGAATAATTCATAAAAATGTATTAAAAGTTAATTCAAATGTATTAACTATAATCATTTTTTTGTAATGTAATTCAGTCAAATGAAAAATTCCATGTACAAAAGAAAATTTTTATTTCAAACAAAATTTCAAAGCTATATATACACATATAAAATTAAAATTTCTCATCCGCAATATTAGTACAATTCATATGAATAGTAATTAAAAACACAATTATATAAATGCAATGAGGTAGATTGAAAATTCACTAACAAACATTCTCTAAAAGAGTAAAATTATAAATACATTTAGCCTTATAAAAAACATCAGCTAGTATCTGAATCAAAGAAAATTCTTATTATAAAACACTAATAAAAATGAATTAAAAGAGTATCCTGAATAAATAAGTCAGGAGTGTATATAATCCATATTTCTGTTAGCTTAAAATTTCCAACAAAGTAGAATAACAATGAATATTTTCATATATATTCTTACATTCAAATGAATGACTAATGTACAAAAAAATTTTTTACATTCAGATATTCATAAATAATGTAGGATATCCCATGTGTAAAAGGTTAGATCATATCCCTTTGCAGAGGACGGCAATTTAATCAAAACAACATTCCACATCAACGATATCTCGCGTGCTAATTAAAACGCCGACATCAACCTTTTTCGGCAGAGGCTCACTAATACCCATCAGCGAAGCATTGATTTCTTGCACCCGCGTCTGTTCGCCGACACCAAGCGGTAAGTTAAAATAGCGCCGCATAATGAGTTTTATTTAATCAACCGTCCCCCCAGAGGGAATAATCTAATTTTCCTATTCTTTAAAATATGCCTATCTAATTTCCATTCTATAAAAATTCTCCCTGTAAATGCTCCACCAAAATTCATAATAAATTATTTAGTTTACAACAAGTTTCTTTCTTAAAATATTTTTTCATAGTTAATCAATACATCGTAATAAATCCCTAGACACCAAGCCAATAAAAACCCCGCTATCTGAAGCATCTTATTTGTTGGAAGACTTCGGTTATATTCCCACAGAAATAATTGGGGGGGAGGGGGTCGCTCCGGGATTGGCTTAAAATCTTCTTTATATTTTGATCAGAATCAAAAGTTAGTCTGATTAATTTAAAACTCCTAATCTTCTTCTTTGGAAAAAAATTCACTTAACGCCCTCATTGTAAACGCTGACTGAAATGAAAAGGCGCGGTTTGCCTCTCATAACATACTAACATTATAACAACAGTGATCCTTTGTGGAGTCACTTCGTCTTGCAAGTGCTTTGCTGAAAATCCAGTGAGTCCATTTCAAGCTTCATCTGCAGAATACATCCAAGAACTTTTAATTACGTTTTCAACAACTGGATCATGTACTGTGTTTTTGTTGTTTTCATTAAAAGAAAAAAAGAAGCTACCGTCATGTTGTTTATAAAAAAAATTTTGTAGCCGATTTCATGAAGTAATTTATATTTTTAAATATCTTGTGTGTGTTTTGAAATACTATTTTTCTAGAATTGTGTACAGAAATCGCATCAATTAAAATTTTCTACGAGTATACCTTTTAAAATATTAAGGAAATCGAACTTTATATTCAAGTTCATTTAATTTTTTGGGTTTCATTTAAAAATGAATCGATTTATTGTATTTGATATGTTCTACCAATGTGCAAAACGAAGCATTTCTGTTTTGTTGCGTCACTGTCCTTGACTGGCGCCTCTTAGCTCTTTAAGAATTCATGTATCTGTGATTCTCAAAGGATTGGTCTACATATTGCAAAATTTCGATCGCTAATAGGTTTTTTCCGCAGTTGTGTAATAAATTACTCTTTCCAGTACTTGAGAAGAAATTTCGACTAAATAATTTTGCTTTTCATTCAAACATGTCTTTATTTTTATAATTTGTTGATTAAAGATTCTACATGATCTAATTTTTAATGGTGTACTTTATCATTCAATATATGAATATTTTGAGTTAATTTTTGACAGAATTGTTATGCTTTCTATTGAAACGTGTGTTTATTATTACAATTTGATGATGAAATCCTAAAGGATTTTATTTTTATTGGTGTAATAAAAAAAGTTGTGTGTGTACTTATGTACGCACGTAAGAAGTTATACTTTGGCGTAACAAGATTAAAATCTTTCTAAAAATCTTTAGCAGGGCAAGTTGGGCCAGCCAAAATAATCACGATTTAAATAAATTTAAACACCCCCGTACGGGGACTATAAGACCAATAACATACGTGGTATCAGACTGTATCTGGCGATGAAGTTAGCCAAATGTGATATCTGAGACCTCATATTGAATGTTTCGGTGGGTAGAATCATTCCTGAGAAAAAATGAAGACATCTGCCTGAAGAGCCCCCGAGTTATGGTCATTTTAAAATAATTAAAACATTTAAAACAATAAAATAAAGTAGAAGCAGGCACCCAGCAACTCGAAACTGGGCCTGCTTGTGAACAAACACAAGAGGAATCCATTAGAACCGGTCCGGAGTCGGTAGTTACAAATGGGATGGTGCTAGCTCGGGAAAAGAAAACAAAATTAACTCCCCTAGGAGTGAAACAACTGTGACGTAAATGGTCACGTACATCACAACGATACACAGAGTAGTAGGTGATCCCAAAGATTCACCCTTCTATCTCTGTAATATCGTTATGTCATCAAAAGATCGAACCCCATAGGAAAAACATTTGGATTCTAATTTTAGTGATAACACCCCTGAGCCTACTATCTACACACGAATTATAACAGATGAAATATCTCAACGAGGAAAACCTATGGTCTAAGTTTTATTAACGAATCTCAAAAATTATCAGAGCTATGCGGGATTTTAAAAAAATTATAACTTTAAAATAATTTAAAAATGTTAAATATGGGTAAAGAAATAGGCTATGGTCCTGAAAAAATATATCTAGGATGCTCATAGGAAGAACAATCGAATCCAGCTGGTGTGGTCGACCAAGGTGGCATAGGGTTCAAGTTATATTTCTGGGGAAGCCTTGTAAAGGGAGGGGCCAATTTCACGTAAAGCTCGTGCTAATACGAAAATATGGCGAACCTCCAAAAATCAAGTTCCAAACTCAATTCCTTAAGGGGTGAAATTTTTCCAGTCCCTATAGAATTAACGTGGGAGCATGATATTTTAGTTCTTAAGCCCTCCCCATGTCTTCACAATGGGAATGAAGCATATAACTGAATGGGTCTCAACGAGTAGAACACTTGATTGAAATCACAAGTCCGAGACTAGAACAGGAGCCGAGATATTGTGAATTTAAAATTTTTTTTAAAGTTTAAGACAATTAAAAACTATAGAAGAAACAGCCCTATGAGTATGAAATTATAATAACTAGAACAGATAGAGAGGGATCGAATGAGCCAGGTCCTACTGGACTGTGAGGCTCGGGTGCCGAGATATTGTCCAAAAAGCTGTAGTGGAAATGCACAGGAGGGATGCGACCCACAGATATGGTTTATAACAATAGTTATTATGTCCCCAAATATCAGTCCTATAGCTATAAAAAGTGGCATGTTAAAGTATTAGACAACGGTGTGCGTGTGCGCATCGGTATCGTGAATTTATGCGCATGCATCCGTGACGGTGTGCGCGCGCATTGTAAAAATTTACCCTCATCCTTTTTCCCAAACCCCTAAAAAGAAGGATAACTTCAAAAATAAATATACGAATACAAAAGGCTCTTATAATTTGCTACAATGTAATAAATGTGTTTATGCTCATCGCAATACGTTCGTAATAAATACATCTATAATCATATACTTGCAATTGTTATTTAAATAGGTAAACTAATGTTTACTCTTATGTTTTATGTACATGAAACACAATTTAAAGATTAATTTACTAATTTTTTAAAAAATTTTCTGTAAGTATGTTTGGTTTAATAACAAAAAGTGTTCAAACAAATGCATCAGAGAAGCTCCGTTGGCGAAGGACGATCTCTCCCTAGTATTAAGGATGTCACAAATCAGCTCAAATGCAAAGGTTCGCAGACACGGAGGGTATAGCTCAGTGGTAGAGCATTCGACTGCTAATTGAGAGGTCCCGGTTCAAACCAAGAAGTATCCTTCTTTAGGGTAGTGGAGAGAAATATTTTTTTTGAGAATTTTGAAAGCGGGAATGATCTGTCCCATTCTGTATATTTCTAGACAAAGCATTTTCGTATCCGTTCCTACGGAAAGCAAAGGTTCACTGACGCTGGGGTCAGGGTCGAATCTAGCTGTTTTGCCGCCCCGGACAAAAATTGAAAATGCCGCCCCTCTCTTTAAAACAAAAAATTATAATTAAAAAAGGTAAATTGTTCAGATAAATACGCACCTATAAAACTTGAATAAGCTAAAACAAAGAAAAAGGCAGCGCATAACAATATATACACATACACACACACACACACACAAAATAAATAAATAAATAAATAAATAAATAAATAAATAAATAAATAAATAAATATATATATATATATATATATATATATATATAAAATATATATATATATATATATATATATATATATATATATATATATATATATATATATATATATTGCTTAGGATCTTAAAAATCAAAATGATTCGAAATCAAGGACAAAACTACTTGTTATTATTTCAAGCGAGTAAAATGAAAGAGAAGGAATCGTCCATTTCAGCAGGCCACTTTCTTTGAAAAATAGTCTACTGATGGTGGGGATCACTAGCGTTTATTTTAACTTATAGTACAACTGCACTCAAGAATAAAATAAAACATCTGTGGCTCTCTATCTACCAAAACCTCTTATTACTTACTTCCTTTTGAGTAGATGATACCGGACATCTTATGGGTGTAAGGAATGTCCGTTGTGACTTCACTAATGGATGGGGAGAAAATTTCCAGTTACACAGATGTGTAAACATATTAAATTTCATAATTTAACATATACTCCCGCCTTGAACACTTCAAATTTCATTATAAAAAACTGTTATTAAACATACAGAGTACAAAATCAGGAAATATAAAGTACGTTAAATGAAATACCAAATTCACACCCAATAATATTTATGAAAATATATGAAATTTTTTGGTAACAAAAAAAATTTTTTTTTCAAATTTGATCCTAATGCCGCCCTTAAAATTTGCCGCTCCGGGCAGGTGTCCAGCCCTAGAGCCTCCCGTGCGGGGGTATAGTTCAGTGGAAGAGCATTCGACTGCAGATCGAGAGGTCTCCGGTTTAAACCCGGGTCTTCTCTTCTTCAGGGAAGTGAAGAGAAATATTTTTTTTTGAGAATTTCGAAGGCGGGATTGATCTGTCAGTTTTGTATATTTCTAGACAAAGCATTTTCGTATCCGTTCCTACGGAATGCAAAGCAAAGGCTCATTGACACGTGGTGTATAGCGCAATGGTAGAGCATTCGACTGCAGATCGAGAGATCCGGTTCAAACCCGGGTGTCCCCTTTTTCAGGGAAGTGAACAGAAATATATTTTCCTGGCGGTAATGATCTGTAACATTCTGTACATTTCTAGACAAAGCACTTTCGCATCCGTGACGGTGTGCGCGCAAATCGTAAATATTCACCCTCATCCTATTTCTCTAACGCCCCAAAAGAAGTATAACTTCAAAAATATATGAACTTTTTCTTAAAGTGACTAACTTCTCTCTCTCTCTAATTGTTTGCTTCTTTAAATAAAGAACTTTTTAAATGATTAAATTCTTTTTAATATTTTAATAAATTTAATTATACGGTTTTAAAACAAGATTTGCTTTGTTTAATTTATTTTTACTTTCAAACACTTTTTGCATTTGTTACAACGAAATAAAACTATTGATATATTAAATGATTTTAAAGAATTTTTTTGGTTGAAATTAATAACTGAAGTATTTCAAAATAAATAACGTATTTTAGCTCGCGCAGTTGTTTTTAAACATTATTGGTTTAAAATTTTTTATGTGAATAAGTTTTCAATATTTCAAGTATAGTAATTTTTTTACATCTGAAATGTTAGACTTCTTTTTAATAAGTTATTTTCATTTAAGGTTGATTTGTCGAATCGGCCGCCTCTCGTGCCAAATGTTTTCTCGCCAAATCGGGTAACCCTCCTGAACTGTTTTCCAATGAAGAAGTCGTTTTTTGGCGAAATTTTGCACATGCGCAGTATATTTCTTTAATTTTAACTGTTTTCATGATATCGCGGCAAGTTGGCGAATGCGTAATTCGTTTTATATATATATATATATATATATACACTGGTGTGCAAAACTTAAGCAACAGGTGGGTTTATTGCCATAACTTCACGAAAAATCATCTGAGAGACATGAAATTCTGAAATGAGGGAGTGTATTATGTACGTAAAGGATGACGAAAGCATCTGCGCTGAAAAAGGAATACAACGCATACGGTATGGAATCAAACAAGAACAAGCTTTATTGAACGCATAGTATCGCGACTCATGATTGTCTATCCAACAGGAAGAACAACAAGCAGATGTTCCTTAATATGGTATATGCCCTCCTCTTACTACAATGGTTGCTTTGCACCGTCTCCACATACTCAGAACCAGCTGGTGCAACATTTCTTGAGGTAGGAGTGCCCATTCCTCAATCAACATCTGTTTGAGTTGTTGGTTGTACTCTGGATGATGTAAGCGTGTGGCAATACGTCTCCCCAAAGCATCCCACACATGTTCGATGGGATGGATTTAAATCTGAGGAACACGCTGGCCAATCCATTCGAGTGATATCTTCACTTTCCAGCAGCTCCTCGACAGCAAGAGTGCGATGTGGCCGTGCATTGTCATCCATAAAAATGAAGTCTGGGCCAATGGCACCTCGGAAAAGATGCACATGGGGAAGAAGTACCTCCTCACAATAGCGATTCCCGGTTACAGACCCTCTGTCGAAAATGTGAAGCTCAGTTCCGCCGTTCAGCATAATGCCAAACCAGACAAGAACTCCAGGACCACCGTAACGATGTCTTTCCTAGATGTTACTGGGATAAAACCGGGTCCCGATCTCTCCAAATCAAAACGCTTGAGAATCACTTCTGGTACTGAACCGACCCTCATCCGTAAAGAGGACACGACCCATTGATCAATTGTCCCGTTTTGTGCTCTCTGGCCCACTGTAAACGGTGGCTTCGGTGGCCATCTTTCAACGGGGGCAGCGTTCAGGACGGCGGGTGAACAGGCCCCTTTGTGAAGGCGTCTGCCACAGTAAACCGCTACACTTGTCGACCTGTTGCTGTACAGAGTTTCTGAGCAATGGCGCTTGCTGACTGCTGTCGGCCTTTTCGCCTGAAGGATGATATATCGGTCATCCTCTGCAGTTGTCGTCCTCGGGCGGCCACACCAACCTTTCTAACAGCTGTACCTGTGATTTGGAACGCTTTCCAAGCTCGCGAAACGACACTTTTGTTGATTCCGAACTGTGCAGCTGCACTGGTGACAGTACGCCCCTCCTCCAGCTTTTCGATCATTTTTCTACGTGTGAAGTCGTACAGGTGATTTCTTCTAGCCATATTTCACGAACTGACTCACTGGCACTTGCAGAGAATATGGTGAATTGTGTCTCCATCATTCATTTCATTCTACTGTTGAGCAGCGCGCGCCGACATCACGCGTTTTGCGTACGCTCACATCGCTTCTGACGTTTTGTTCCTCATATTTGCATACGCATGACGTTTCTACTGACTTACGTGTTCTCTCTACTGATCTCCAGACCTCCTTTACTGCAATTTCATGGCTGTCTGCTAAATTTTTACATTGCTGCTTAAGTTTTGCACACCAGTGTATATATATATATATATATATATATATATATATATATATATATATATATATATATATATATATATATTATATATATAAAAAAAATTTTGTATAATATTTCAAAAAGAAATAATAGAAAATGAACATAACAAAAATAACGTAATAAGAATATAAAAAGCAAAACAAAAATCGAAAAATACAAAAAAGGAACTATAAAAAGAACCTAGGAGTCAGAATGAAATTTTCGGACTTGGGACCGAATAAGGTTGCTGTTTTAAGGGCCCCAAACCTTCCCCTTTGCAACCGGTAGAAAAAAAAAAAAAGAAAAAAAAATTTAAAGTATAAAAAAAATTCAAAGTATAAAAAAAAATAAACAAAATTTAAGTTTTCAAAAACTAAAGAATAGAAAAAACCCACGTTAATATTCTGAAAAAAATTTTTTCCCCAAATTTTTTAAAGCAAAAAAAAAAAAATTATTAAACGAAATCTTCCTACTTACAGATCCCTTTCCAAAGAAATAAAGGGTCTTGGGTATTTTGAACGTATTTTTTAAACTACCTTTTCCCTAACGAGCATAGATAGATATCGAGATAGATGAAACCCCAATTTTGGTTTCTTTAATTGGTTGATTGTCAAAATGAAAATTTTGCTGGTTCAATTTGGTTGGTTTTAAAAATTTTAAGATGTTTAAGATTTTTTAAAAGATGTAAACTGTGATATGAGTGTTATGATATAATCTTCACAGCAAGACCACTAACATGCTGACTTTGAAACCCTATTGTTGTGTGGTGGATTTGGTCAAAGTACAAGACGACTAATATATTTGTGATAAATTAAGTTCTTAAGGTTAAAAGGGTATTCAGATCAAACAACTTTTAAAAGGAATTTTTGATATTATTAAATTTATCGTTTTTGTGGGTAGTTAAGTTATCATTTCTAAATAAAAATTCAAAAAACATTTTTTAAATTGATAATTGAATTACTGTTCCTTTGGGGAATTTTAATTATATGGAACTTAAAAAAATCTTTTTTTTCAAAAATTTACTGACTACATTATTGTTTAAATTTGATGCAAACAAACCAAGAATTCTACCATATTAGAGTTAAAGTTTGTTTTAAGGAGGTTGAGATAGTCGGGGGGAAGAAAATTTGGTTTTTATTCATTATTTTTTCCAAAAAAATTAAAAATCTTTTATAACGATAAATCAAGTAAATCATTAACAATATGGGGCAATTTTAAAAAAAGTAAATACAGGTTCGCTAAACAAACAGCTGGGGCCATCCTGAGGTAATCCTTTTTATCTGTTTATAAAGATTCTGATTAAAATGGAAA